CTCGAATTCGGACAATCGGACCACGAACTGTAATGGATTTAATAATTAAACTGAAGTATATCTTCACGAAAGCTCTCCGTGGCCATTTCATTTGTCGCCGACAATCAAATAGATTACACGACTTTGAAAAATGGCAAAATAGGAGGGAAAATTCAAAAGGTGGGGTTGAGATGGGAGGTTGGTGTCCGAGTGGATCGAAGTCACGATAGCTAAGGAGCGGCTTATTTAGCCGAATATAATGGGTTCGAATCCTGCTCAAGACCCGACTTTTTTATATCAACTAATATTTTTCATAAAGATTAATTAATTGATAAAAGTTAATTGTTCAATCATACCACGAACTGTAATAGATTTATTACTTATTAACATTACTAAAATTGTTAATATTGATTACAATAAATACTAATCATTATAAAACAACAGAATGGTTATTTTATGAGATTGGTCGTTTAATGAGATAGCGAGCTTAGAAGAATACTTAGAGCGAAGGCCATTTATAGAAAATACTGGCCACACCATATTTATTTCTCGGAGAGGTTCTGCGCCCATCCAAGTAAACTGTTAGACCCTATGATCATTACTCTCACACAACATTAACCGTTAAATGTTTAAACTTTGATAAAATATCTACAAAAGGGTTGGTAAAGGTAGAAAATACTTCTGGCAAGCAGAAACTTCTTTCAAAGAAACGAAAGAATTAATAATGCTTAAGCAACAAAAAATTTAGTGACTACAGCTTTTTAATAATGCAGCGTACATTATAAATTAATTCAAATCTTTTTTTCTTAATCTATTTTAATGAAAAGAAAGGACTTTTCTTTCATTATGTACATGAAAAAAAATGTTAGTTAAAAAATATAGATTTATTTATTTTTATAACATCAATTAACGGTAACAACAAAAGCTAAAAGTGAATTATGATGAAATAAAATTTAAAAAATAAAAAATTGGCAACATACCAACCATGGTTGACCCACAACCTGCACCTCTAAGAGGGGCCTAATAAATGTTTTAAAAAAGATCCATAATGGAAAATTAAGAAGAAAAAGTGAATATTTCTTAAAAACCTACTAAAGAAAGTTTGAATTTGAATATTTTTCAGTTTTTTGTAAGTGAAATTTTTAACAAAAATGTAAATAAATATTTTTTTTAGTGTATGCTAAAGTTATAAAATTAGAATAGAATCAAAGGATTTTTTAAATTTAATTCTAACATCTTTAAAACATCTGTACAAATTAAATATATATTGAGTAAATAAAAATAATTACATACAAATCTGACAGATCTGTCAGACCAGGAGGCAGCGGGGAGAGATACCAGCAAGTGCAGGAACTTTTCTTTAGTCGGGAAGGTTAAAATGGAGGTCACGAGGTCATCGTCGTTTTAGACGTCGTGGAGATTATAAGGGTGGGCCAGTTGAGGAAAGAATTTGGCCTAGTGTGTTAGGATGGAGGGATAGTTTGTACTGGAAATTGAGGAAACGTGTTCGGATAAGATCCTTCACGAATGGGATTTTAAGATCTTTATCGATCATTTGATTGGTGACGTAGAAGGGAGCATTGAGGATACGACGGACAACTTGGAAAGGATTGGATTCGCTGGACGTTAGAGGATTTGGCCGAACCCTCCAGGCCAACTCCGTAAGTTCAAATCTGTCTGATGAGAGTTTTGTAAACGGTTGGTTCGTTATGTATGCTTAGTGTTGATTTCGGTAGTCCATGTCTTTTGTTAGGTTCTTGAGTTTTTAATCTTGTATGTGGTTCATGTAAATTTGCTATTTAAGTAAAACCCACAGAAGCGGACTTCGTTGAATGAAGGTATTATCTTTTGTTGTGAATTTTAAAATATTTGAATCGTTTATGAAAACGATTATAGATTTATAATTACACATTACATTTAAATCGTAAATTAAAGGCGTCGAGATGACGCTGGTTAAAACATTTCCCTGATAAAAAATATGATCAGGAATATGGCAAATGAAATGTCTCCAGAGAGAGATTTCGTGATATACCTGTTAAATTAATGATAATACATTGAAATGGCGCTTATTTTATCTCTGAGATGATATGTTAGTTGAAACGAATTTGCAAAATAGGAGACGTTGATAAAGTATATCTTGGGGTTCGCGCTGAGAGCTTAAACTCATTTTTTATTCAGATAAAACCAAACCGCTGTACACGGAAATGAAAACGATTAATAATTGTTCTTGGAAATTACGACAAAGAGGTGAACATTCAAATGGAGCCGACTGACACAGGAAGAGCTATGTATCATTCATGGCCGGCAGACGCTGGCTCAGCCTTGGACTTAACAATTCATCCGTCACCGGGGCATATCCATTAGAAAGCCATTGTCCGTCCTGGTGGAGGAAGGAATCGTTGCAAAAAGCTGCTAATTAGAAGCCAAGTCTGTTCTGGATAATTAAAATAATAATACTTAGCCCGGGTTCAATCCCTCTTCCCATCCGAATTTAATTGGGCACCATTCCAAAAGCTCGCGCTGGCTTTCATAGTAGTTCCTTTTCCATCTGACATGTCCTTTGAATTAATTGGTCCTTGAACGTGGAACTGTAAACAACCTGATTTAATTTCCTTTATAATCACCTGTTCGTTTATGATCTCGAGAGTGTCCTGGGCGACCGGGGTAAACATTGCTTCTGGACTAATTTATTACAGACTGCCTTTGAACAGATAACGTGGTATACAAATAAAGGAGCGTACGTTTAACGACCGTTACCCTCTAGAAATGAATTTAGTTTAATTAATCCATTATGCTTTGTTATTTTGTTTGATAATTTCCTAACGTCATTGGCCATGAGATTAGCCCCTATAATTTTCTACAATAAGCATAGCACAATACTTCTATTTAAAACAAGGATCAAGATAGCAACCATTCAAAGTTGTATATACTTAAATCCCTACTATTATCTAACCAGTTTTTTTTTCTTAAATATTTATTGCAAGAAAACGTTTTTGTTATTAAATGTCCAAAATGTTCAGTTACACACCCGTACCATACGGCATGCAATTCCTGAGATGTGGCTGGATGAGGAACTGACATGGAGTGAGCATATAAAGACAATTGTCTGCAATACGCGCAGTCCCATGTATGCGTTAAAGTATATTTTACCAAGTCATACCATTTATCTACATAATAAGCGACTATTGCTCATAATGCCAAACTGTGGCAGGTTAAGAAAGACGTCGGTCCCTGGTTCACGGAAAATGCGTCAAAAAGGGAAAAGGTCGTACTGACAAGATTACGTATAGGTCATACAAGAATTACGCACGGGCACCTTCTAACAGGAAAGCGACCGCATAGGTGCCCATTATGCAAGGATAGAGTAACAGTCGAGCATCTTTTCAATTGTAGAACGCTCGATGTTTATAGGCAATATTTTGGAATATCATCGGACCTGTGCGTAGTCTTGGGGCACGGCAGCGGGCACAAATCGCTGTACCGGTACCTCAGGGCTACTTTCAAATATATATAGTTTGTGTGTGTTTGTGCTGTGCTTGTATTGTGTGTGAAGTGTTTGTGTCGTGTTTGTGTGGTGTTTATGTTAAAATATTAGGATGAATGTAATTTATTAGCGTAAAAGGAAGGGGTTACTTACCCCGCCCCAGAAATGTCGAGTACTCTGGGGTGAGTGTGTCACGTCTGGAGAGCAAAAGTAAGTTATTAGCGCGAATGGAGTGGGTTCGGCCCCGCCCCGAGGAATATCGAGTACTCTGGGGTGAGAGTGTGATGTATGGGGAGCAAAAGTAAGTTATTAGCGCGAATGGAGTGGGTTCGGCCCCGCCCCGAGGAACATCGAGTACTATGGGGGAGTGAATGTGACCAGACTTCTATGTTTGTGGCAATATATATGTTATGTATTGTATGTTGTGTATCTATTCTTAAATTGACAACCTGAGGTAGAACAAGAGGCTAGCATTTTAAAATAACGACGTATTATACAAGTAAAAGGAGAGATTCAGTAACCAGATCGAGCTGCTCAAATGGCTGCAGTTCAATACAAAATACGCGAGAAAGACAGGAAAGAAAAGGAATACACGCGTAGGGCCGGCGGTGACCTAGCTGTTTCTCGGCCCATAAACCTTCCACTTTATATATAATATATAACAAAATCGAAATATTTAAATTCTAAATATAGTTTTTTGTATTTAGGCACTTCAAATACAAAAAACATTCAATACTGCTAATTTGTTAATTCAAATTCAAGCTTTCAAAAAATCATAAATAATTAAAAATTAAGTAGCTGTTAAAAATAATCAAACTTTGAAAGAAAGCGAAACAATAATGAGTAAACTTATTAATCCAGTTATAAAGGCCGTCATTGTCAGTAAAGCATTGTGCTATTTTATATGAAGCCATAGAAACAACTTTGAACCTTTGTTGTCAGCACACAATAATAGGGTTAACTGAAAACTAGATACAGCACTTATAATGTGATAACATATTCAGCACAATGTTAGGTCGATAAACTAATTAAATTCCAACTGAATCGCTTAGGTACAAAAAACATATAATAAATAAATATAAATCTTATTTCTTTCCGTGTAGTATGGATAATATCAAATATTTTATGTAGTTAATATATCAAAAAACGACCATTTTTGCAGCTATTTTGGATATCATTATTATGAGTTGAATGTCGACTTTTTTAAACTGAGATGCTTCTGGAATATCCTGACTTGTGGTAGTTGTAGTCATAAGTATAGGAGGAAGGGAGAGAGATTAAATTAACTTATGTATACTTTGTTCCTCTTCTCATCACTATCATTACTCAAACTTGACCTATTTTTTAGAGACAAGAAAGATAAATAAATAGCTATTAGATAGGTACATGAAGATAGATAGATAGATAGATAGATAGATAGATAGATAGATAGATAGATAGATAGATAGAGAGAGAGAGAGAGAGAGAGAGAGAGAGAGAGAGAGAGAAAGAGAGAATGAGAAAGAAATTCATTAAGACTACTTTGTTGCTTTTCTCCTACCAATATTGTATAAATTGCTTATTACCTTTGTAGGCACAAAATCGTTGTACTTTCCAAGATGAACGAATGTCTTACTTTCAGGTTTCCTTCACAACTGTCGGTATCACGATATCTTTAAAAGAAAGGTTCGGCGATCCTCTCATTACCGAAATTCAAATGTCACGGTTCGTTACGAGAAACGTGCCAGAATCGATTTTGATTATTTGGAACGGGTGGAGACACGAGAATATGAATTTTAATCATGCGGCTCGTCAGCCCAATTTTCCGAATGGGCGTCAAAGATATCTACGGAATTTATCTACATGATTATCATGCTCGCTCGTCGGGGATCTCTAAGCTGGTAAGGGTGATGTGAAATCGTTGAATTTGCACAAATCACGTCGTACTTGTGAAATCGCACGTCACCAAATAAATGGCTCTTTGAAGATTCGTCAATAATGCTCATCAGGTGATATTTTCAGCCCAACAGCCAGAGTTATAGAGCACCATGATTATCAATGTTATTGTTTCATTACTTTTTTTTCAAAGCAGTTTTACATTACTGTAAACATTTACTGTACCTAACTTATACATTTTTCCTAGGGTATTTCAACTATAAAGTGCCAGTGGTTTTGAAAAAAAAATTTGTAAATTTGCCGGGTTTGAATGCAGATCTGCTGGATTCGAACACAGGACCTACGCCGTGTCAACGCCTAACCCTTTGCGATAACCGACGCCCTCAAAATAAGACGTTTATCGCTACATTTCTACAAGTAAATACGGTTTATACATGTCAAAAAACGTATATATTAAAAACTTAGAGTGTATTTTAAAAATCATGAATCTCATGAAGACTAAACCCATTTTTCAGAAAATTTATTGAATGTTCGTCAACATTGTTTTTAACCTTGGGCATTCCCGTTCAGTTTGATCCAGTAACAGACCAGTATTTAGAATAGCCAGACAGTGAAACGCATCTTCTCAAGAAGGTGCTAATGTTGGCTTTAATTAACTCCTTAGTAAGACGGATTTAATGGAGTTTTTCGGTTTAGGGTAAAGAGGGGTTTAGTTTATATATTATATATATAACAGGGTAATTAAATGCAATTAAATTTAAATTTAGACATTATGACAGAAGAAGGACTACCGGGGCATCTGTTAACACTGCCATTTTCGGCTATTCTACGTGGAAATTTGATATGTTCAAATCTTTGAATGTACCACGCGGCACCAGATGCCTGTCAAATGATACGGTTCTGTATGAATTGCATCTTTTGGACGTGTGAACCGAATGCTGATCACCATACAGTCAAACTACCAGATTGGCCGGATAACTACAGGGAGACAGATGTATATGTCGTTTTCCTAGCGAGGAAGTATTTCAAAGCAATCATTCGAATCGTGTTTTAATAAAATCGGATTTGAAGTAAATATTTTCTTATGTTATAACGTAATATATATTACTAAAAAAATAATAGTTATTATAGTAGGCACATAGTAACTGTAGGCAGTTTTATGATTTATTGAATTTATCAAAACTTTTCCTTACTTTATTATGTTAGATTAACGATGTTATATTAATTTTATTATCTTTAAAAAAATGGTCATACACTAAGCATTTAATATTATAATTAAAGATTCTGTTGTAACTTCGTCCAGTTAGTAAATTCCCTGCGGCATGTTGGCATATCGCAGGCAGGTGTAGTTTCCTTACTTGAGTGTTACACGTATTTAACGTGTTATACGCTAACAGCACAAAATTTGTGATTTGATCTACGAATTGTAATATTATTTTTCTCGTTTGTATTAGTGTTGTCTCATAAATTTAGTAGGATATGGAAGCCTTATAATTTTATACCTAACAATCTACCGTAATTGTATTATTCTACAGATCGCATATACAATGACACATTTCAGATATTTTCATAGGAAATGGATATAAGCCAGTATTTTCATTACGAGAGGAGAAAACTGTCTGAAGGGAGAATTTTCACGGCTGTAAAACCCTGTATGTATTCGAGTTTACGACACTGGAATTTACAGCTTCCTAAGGAGGGCTGATCGGAATAAAACCGAAAACCTGACTTGAAGGTAAATAGAATATAAAAATAAACAAAGTGAATAGGATCAAACACCCGAATGAATTAACCTTTAGCTTTATAAACGATCTTCCCAAACATATTGTAATGTCAATCGTTGCGAGTGATGTCATTATTTCTCAATAATCCTTACCACATGAATTTACATGCTTAAAATTAGTTCATTAATAAAAATTATTATAAATATTAAAGGTGTTTTTTAAAAGTACAAGACTTACAAGTAATCTTGTTACGTTTTAACAGTACTACATAACTTTAAAAAAAATTATCTCCGATATAATTAGTGATCGGCTTTCATAGTTATAATATTTTTTTAGAAAATGGGGTTAGAACGAATTAGTACATTTTTGTACTTATCATATTTGATCGCTATTTGATCTCAAACTCTAATTTCATTGCACTTGAAATCATAAGCTTTATAATAAATAAATAATTTCTTGTATTGACAAGCTAAATTTTAAGCATGATGTCTCCTAAGTTTAACCGACATTTAATCATGTTATTTCTAAAATTTGGACGTTTTTGATCATTTTATTTGGTTATCCTCGTTGTTTTGGATAGTCAGTCGGGTTTAGCCTTTTGCTAACACCAGTGACTGGCAAATTTACTGCTTTTTCTACCTTTTATTTAGCAATAAGCCAGACCAAATGATGGGAAAGGACCGAATTGCATGTTCATCAATCCGCACAGCCTAAGGGGAAATCTCATAATATAACATTTTAGACCGTGTCCTCTATCTTTTGTCTTATTTATAAAGGATTAATAATAGTGTCTTCCCATTCCAAAAATCATTTTACATAGTTTTTAATTAACTTGTGTCTCCTAACGTGTACTCCACTTTTCTTTATCCTGGTTCTTCTTCCTAGATCCAATACTTTATTTGCTATATATCAGTGATTTTCTGAAAATGGTTGGCTTAAATACTTTAATATTATCAGATGATACAGCATTCCTGTGTGCAACAGCAATAAAACTGTACAAAAATAGAGAAAGGCCCAGTCAGCTCAAATTGATACATATAAATTTGATAATTAAACAGAATTGAACCATATTCTGTTCATCACTATTGATGAAGACATGTACCTTATAGCAATACAACTAAATCTAAGCTAAATATCTATTTAGATTCCAATCTGAAGTGTAAACACGTGAATAAAGAGCTATAAGTAATAAGTATACACTAGTTGCTATGTAAATCGTTATGCCATTTTCGGTTTAGAAGGTTTTCGGGTAGTAAGATTAAAGGTTTTTTAAAGGTTTATGGGGTTAGGATTAACGATTTGTATGGAAGCGTTTGTATCGCCTTTTTGCGGTTTCGAAATCAAATGAGATTCGTATGTCAGTGAGGATAGTTGGGTAAGAAGTAGGGAGTTTGGGCAATTTCATGGAGTTTCATAGATTTTGGATTGGGTTCTGTGGAGATTAGAACGCTCGGTTGAACCCAAAAGTATGATTCAATACCTTCTTTTCGAATCCATAACTGATTAATTGTAGTAATAATATGTAAATGAATCGTTTCTTTTTTAGTGAGAGTTTTAATCTGTTGACAAGGTATTTGAGTATTTCATTTAGTTAGTTCAGCTCTATCGTTAGAGTCGAGTGAGTGTAAGGGTTTCCAATAAGAGTTCGGTTGATGTAAAATCACAAATAGAATTCGATATTGGTTGCTGCAAAATGAACAGAATTGTAGTAGATTTCAGGAGGGTTGTTAGGGTGAAAGATGAAGGTGGTTTGCTGGGATTTGGTTTCGCCGAATCTAATCCTCGATTTGTTAAACTTTTCTTCCAAACAAAAGAGATGGTCCAGGCGGTTTCTGAAGGCCACTACCCAGTCTGGGTTTTGCTTGAAGGATGGCGGTTTGTCTGGTATGGAGCCGAATCGAAATTGACATGAATGTCTGCTGTGTATACTGAGTAGAGAAAGGGACAAAACCCACTTCGGTATAGAGTGAATGGGAGGGAAGAAGGTTCTATCGTACAGATAGGATTTTAAGATAAGGTAATAAGTGAATGGATCGGTTGAGTTTCCAGAGAAAGCACGATCTTGCCTATAGTGTAAGAAATCACCCAAGCAGCTTTCTTTCCGATCAAGAAAGGATACGATGTCTACCACCCTTGACTGCCAGTAGTAAATGGTATATTGATGTCGCCTGAACCCGGATTGATGAGACGTAATGTCCTTGGTGTTTTCTAAGATGAGATATGTGGAGATGTTTAAGGAAGAGTTTTTTTTTAGATTTTGACCATCAATGAAAAATAGTCACATATTTAGAAATAAAAAAATTATTAATTCAGATTTTATCGTTTTATAAGCGTAATAATTTCCAGACCTCCTTCAATATTTTAAAGGGACGTTAATCTTTCCAGTAGTAGAATTTTATTAAAGTTTAAAAATCGGATTTTAAGGTGGCTAACTAAAAGTTCACTGAAATAAGGGCAAAAGATGGTCCTCGAAAAACAGATTTTGCTGTAAGGAGAAAAAAAGGAAAGAAAATTTAAATATTTTTTCAAGCGGGAGACAATAGAGATTGTAATGAACGGCACTAATTTTGTCATGAGGAGTGCCCATTGCATTGTTGCCCGATGCAAATCTCTTTTATTCGTTTTCCGGGGCTGGGGAACAGTTTCGCTACGTCTACCCCTTTGTTTTTGTTGACCCCCCGCTTTTTTCCTCCGACCACCCTGCTCGTTTTTCAAAAAAACAAACATTTTTTCAAATGGTCACAATTGGAGTGTGCAGCAGCACAATGCCTCCCCCCGTACCCCCAGCATGGATTAGCTCCGTTAGGACGACGTGTAAAAAAGTCGCAGGTTGGGACAATCCACTCCGATTAAATGACTAGCTTTTTATCTTTCTCCCTTAATCCGGGCAGATGAGTTTATTTTACGATTTGAATAAACATTTCCGAAGCGGCGTCCGACCAAAGTGGTTCTAATCTCTGCGTAAAGTCTGGGCTTTCGTTATTCTATCGTCCCGATCGGCAGGTATCGCGGTATGATTTTTTTCACTCGGTTTAAAAACATTTTTATCCCTGGATTTGTCCCTGCAGTGGCTGACCGTTAATCTTGTGGCAGTGAATAAATCACGCTGTGAAAAACAACAAAAAACCAAACCCGATAGAAATAATGGAATATCAGAATGTTTAAATTTACTGGAACGAGTTTCGATAAAACGGACTTGCGGTAACAAAGGGTTATCAACTTGATAAAATTTTTAAAACGCCATTCATTCCCAAAAAATGACGTTTATACTAGAATAAGTAATGCTGAAAGAAACAGTCATTATTGTCCGCTAATATTGGTCATGTTTGGTGCGGGCGCATTTTAAATTGTCTTAAATTGTCTACAGTATTTCTGCTCGTAGCGAATTTTTTTACAAACCAACTGAATGTCCAGTTGGGAAAAAGGACATCAACCCACGACTCTACAACCTTATACATTTTTCCCGTCAAACGTTCGTGCTAGAGATAGAAAAACCTTTATTTTTAACTATCAGATCAAAATCGCTCACTTAGTGAAATGAATCAGCTCTTTTTCAAGATTCACTGCTCACGCTCACCAAATTTATCTTCCTTATAATTCTACGCAAAAACATCGAAGGGTTTTTCGATTTTCCGGGTATCACCAGCACCAGGGCCACTCGTAAAGGTTGATGGTTTAAATTACGGAATTTCAGGGTTGTTGAATGATAGAAATGGCGAACTGGTCAACCATTTTCTATTATTGCCGATGTAAATTGCAATATTGAAATAATTACTTTTTTCTTCTGCGAACGAGTGAATAAAACAAAAATCAAAATACATACACAACTAAAAGTGCGTATTTATAATGGAAGTAAATATTTTTATTAAACATAAAATTAAAAAAATTAAGAGATTTTTCATTCAGTTCATCTGTGTAACGATAATGAATATCCTAAATTGTTACAAATAATTAAAAAGAATATTGGGGAAGTATCCTTGAAATTAAGGAACGACGAATTAAAAAAAAAAAATCGTGGTCCCCGAGGCTAAAAAAATACAGAAATGTCTAGAAAATATAGAAAAATAGCAAATCTGTATATATAGGGGGCAGACCATGTGTTAGCGGTGTTTTTAATTTGTACGTCTTTGATTTTGTTAATTATGTCTATGGAGTTTTTTAGACAGTTGTGTCAATTAGTTTGAGGTGCGTTTTGAGTAATGTTCTTGTATACGGGGGCTGGTTTGAACTTCATAACTGGTCACATCGGTACGTTTAGTTTGTGTATTTTTGGAGTATTTGAACGTTTCTTTTGGCTTTATGATTGCACCTG